AATTTTATAATTAAATTAAAATTTGTTTCTTAATAATAATAAAACCTTTCAGTTAAACTCAACAATCATCTAGCATAGCTAATCTTTGAACTCAATATCTCAATAATCATATTGGAGTGAAAATAATGGTAAACAAAGCAAGAGAAAAGGAAATTGAGAAAAAAAAAAAAAAGAAAGAAAGAAAGAAAGGCCAGATCTGGTCAAAGATTAATATTTTCATGCATGACCCACCGATCAAGGCAATAGTTAGCTTATTGGATCACCCAAGTCCACTGTATAGGATCAGACGTGTAAGATATACACATCTATGATCTACCCCATAACCCAGATTCCAAAAACCGCTTATTTGCCACTAATTAAGAGATGAGTCATGAGCGCAACTAGCTAGCATCTGACTGAGCTTAAGGCTTGAGATTAAGTCGAAATCTTGTAAACTAGTTGCTAACTGGGTCATCCCAACTCCCAGGCCAAGCTTGTCCAATATAAGAAGAGAATAAGATTCCTAGCTAATTAAATGATGACAAGAGACTCTAAGAAACGATTAAGCTAGAGCTAGGGGTAAACACAGAGCAGAGAAGTAGTAGTTAAGAGGTGGCCAAGCTATGGAACCCCGGAGCTTTACCCTTGATCATCTAATTTACTAAAAAGCAATCCTTTTTTTAAGTTAAGTCGTTCCCAACACAATTAATAGTTTAATACTGAGCTTTTCATATAACAAAAAATAAAAGACAAGCCGGCCAGAAGAAAATCACTTGGTGGTTTATTTATATTCTTCCATGCCAAGCCGGGCCGGGGGACTACTAAGGAAGATGTGGCTGGGCACAGAGCACTAGTATTCTTGGAAGATTTCAAATTCCACATTCCGAGTGGAACGGTGAAAAGTCTAGTGTTTCTTTTCTTTATCTGTTTTGGACCAGGCTTGTTGTCTTTTTATTTTTTGATAGATGAGGGAAACACTAACAGCCTCTGAGTGAGAATCTCCCCCAAGCATGCATCGGCAAAACAAATATAAGACAGGGTGCGATATATTAATGAGTTCTTTTGACGTGAAAGTTGTGAGAATGACCACCTTTTCTTAGCTAAACCACAACCAATCGGGGGAAACCTTGAGGTCTGTTTGACGTGGATCCATGTGGTGGTGCTGTTCGTTCTTATCGTCTAATATATAGTTGCCAGCCACTTGATCCCAATTGAAGAACCCACCTTAGAGGCTTAGACTACTACAAACATGCAGGCTTTATTGGTATTTGACCCAAAACTTGGGGGAAGAGGACTAGGGGTCGTCGTCTAGCGTCTAGGGGTCACCCAACAAAAACAGGTCTCATTTCAGATTGCATGCATGAATATTGAATAGAATAGTGGATGCGATGAGGTCCCACTATAAATGAATGGAATAGTGGCTAACTTAATCCATCCAAATTCCAAACAGAAAGTGGATGGTACTCATCCCCACGTTGATGCTCCTTCACCATCATAACACAAACTATGAAGCAACAAAGCTTTGGTTATTCTGCCCGATCG